AATAAAGCCTGTCATCCCACAGACCACACTTTTGCAGCCTCTGCTGTGAGAAATAAATAAGTATTTAGTTGGAGCAGGGGCTGAGGAGCCTGGGCAGGGCTTGAACAGTGGGCCGTGCTGGGTGGTGGCAGGGGTTTGAGAAAGGAAGTGTCTCAGGAAACAGGTGGTTTGGGTAACAGAGAGGACAAGGGCAGGGAACCAGGAGGAGACGAGTGGAGGAAAGGGAGGGCCAATGACCCTGGAAAGAGACAACTCATGTCTTTGCTTTGAGTGAGGAAGTGACAGGGCAGCCCAGTGGGCACTCTGCAACCAGATCATAATCTCCTGATGAGGAGGCCTAACAATCTGTTTACAGAAGCTGCCGTAGGTGATTCTTATCACTAGGAAAAGGTGGGAATACTCAGGTTTAGTTATTAAGCAGAAGGGCTGACAGCAGGAAAGAAAAACATCTGGAAAAAAAAAAAAGATCCTTGTCTAGGAAGATGCCAGAGGTCATAATTACTAGATGTGGGTGGAGGTGCTAAAAGGGAATGAACCAAGAATCTTGTTAAAATGTAGGTATTGATTGGGTAGGTCTGGGGTGGGGCCCAACATTCTGCACTTCTAACTAGCTTCCAAGTGATGCTGATGTTGCTGGTCCTCAAGCACACATTGGGTGGCAAGGGTCTGGAATTGATACAAAGGAGCCATTCCCCCTGACCTCCTACCCTCAGAAAGGGTCTTCAGGCTAATGGTGAACCAGGGCATGATATTTACCAGGGGAAAAACAAAACAAAAACCAGTTGTGACACCAATGACAAGATTCTGTGTCAAGTGACTCAGGAACATGAACTGTGCCCAGGATAGCTCAACCTGAAGTTTGGGAGCCAATGGTCATGGCTACAGGACATCCCAAGAATCTTAGAAATGCTCTGACCTGATAAGAACTTAGCCAACCCTTTTCCCAAGGAACAAAGTCAGAAACCCTCAGCCGGAGGCAATCAGCACATACCTAATTTGATTCCTCAAATATCTCATAAGCACCTCTCAGGCCAGGACCTGGGAATACAAAGAACTCCCAGTGCAAAATCAAAGAGCTGACTCAGAATAGAAATGTCCTGGAGCACCTGGGTGGCTGAAGGGCATGATCTCACAGACTGTGGGTTCGAGCCCAGGTTTGTGGGTTCAAGCCCTGTGTCAGGCTCTGTACTGACAGATCAGGGCCTGGAGCCTGCTTTGGATTCGTGTGTGTGTGTGTGTGTGTATCTGTCTGTCTGTCTCTCTCTCTCTCTCTCTGCCCCTCCCCTGCTTGTGCTCTCTCTCTCTCTCTCAAAAATAAATAAACATTAAAAAAAAAAAAAAAAAAGAATAGAAATGTCCTCCAAATAAGGCATGAGAGGTAAGAGACAATTTGGGTGCTGTGATGAAATAAGGCCAGAGCCATTCCTAAAGCCAAAGCTTGGTTCAGCAAGGGATGTTCCCAGGAAAGCAACAGCCAATAAAGTAATTCAGCCAGAGTCCTAAATTTTGGAAACTGCAACACATGTGTGATAGGTGTGTAATGACACCTCATAGTGCTGAGAAAATGAATTAAAAGTGGCTGAAAATGATACAATGAAAATGAAATGAAATGAAAATGTTCCCAAGTGCTTCAGCTAACAATAAGAGACTTTTTAACAGCTTCCTACCTTCCTTCTTCAGCTAACCACAATATAATCCAGAAGGACAACTCTGGACCTGATTCCATTTTCTTTAAAAACTAACCTTTGAGGGGTGCCTGGCTGGCTCAGTAGGTCGGTGGAGCCTGTGGCTCTTGGTCTCGGGATCATGAGTTCCAGCCCCGTGTTGGGGGGGTAGAGTTTACTTAATAATTTTAAAAAGCTAATCTTTGGGTCAGATACAGGTCCAGATGCCAAGTTCTCTGCATCTTTCCTGTAATTCATGTAACATGTGGCAAAACGAAACCTAAAGTATACTTATTTAAGAATGTGTGCATGCCCCCAGCCATCGACATGCCAGGCCCTGCCTGGTGAGTGGCTTTCTCCTGAGAAACTGCTCATTAAAACCATGCCTACAGACAGCCAAGAAGCTGTTCAGCCTGGGCTAGTTTCCCTAACAATGGTGCCCATATAAGGAATATGGCGACAGAACAAGGTGGTAAGAATCTGTCCATGTTTCTCCAGTGGCCCTCAAGAGAAAGGGTGCACTGTCTAGAAGTGGCACAGTGCACCCCACGGCTGGACAGTCTGTCACTATAAAGGAGTGGCTATTTGGGGCTACCTGAATTGCCAATGCTCTCCCAAGGGACTTACAGGTATGAGAAGAAGGAAGGAAGTGCCTTAAACTGAGAGCACAGATACCTATGGGGAGGGATGTGAAATCGGGTGGGCTCTATCAGGGGCACTTTTCCTTTATTGGTATCATTTGTATTTTTTATAACAAAAATATATCCAACCACTATTTGCAAAATTAAATTTTATGGGCCCCTGGCTGGCTCAAAGAGTACAACTCTTGACCTCAGGGCCATGAGTTTGAATCCCACAGTGGGTGTAGAAATCACATAAGTAGGGGCACCTGGGTAGCTCAGTTGGTTAAGAGTCCAACTTCGGCTCAGGTCATGATCTCAAGTCCACGAGTTCAAGCTGCGCACGGGGCTCTGTGCTGACAGCTCAGAGCCTGGAGCCTGCTTCGGATTCTGTGTCTCCCTCTTTCTCTGCCCCTCCCCTGCTTGCACTCTGTCTCTCTCTTTCACTCTCTCAAAAATAAATAAACATGAAAAAAACTTTAAAAAAACATAAATAAACTAATACTCTTTAAATAAACAAATTTTTATAGAGTGTGAAGAATCCAAACAATTACAAAGCTCCCTTTGCATTCATCCCATATTCATCAAACAAACCTTATTCTTTTTGCCAAGAAGACAGGAAAAGAGCACACTGAACATTCTAGTCCACTTGGATGTTTCTTGGTAAAAATTAACAAGGTGCATTGTGGGGCACCATCTCTAGTGAGTTTGGTTCCTCTGACCCCAATCTCTCCTCCTCTGTCTACCCATCCTGAACAGATCCTCCTTTCACCCTGCCACCCCAGGGGTCTTTCAGAAATGCATCCTGGATCTCACCAATACCCTCCCCTGTCCAAGAATAAAATCAACACATCTTGGTAAGACATGCTCAGTCCTCTTTACTCCAGTCTACCTCATCTCTTTGTGTTCCCCCACGAGAACCACACTAAAGTACAGGCTTGTCCTTCTCGATGAGCACCTGGCTTTCTGCCCATCCTGATACTCCTTCTAGAATACCCCTTTCCTCTTCTCTGCTCCTTCAAATCCTCCATGTCCCTAGGGACTCATCATGCCATCAGCCACTGCCTCTACTTAATGCTGCCTGACTCCAGTCCACTATCAAGGACTGGGATTCTGGCTCTGGACTCCCATATTATATATATAGAGCTTACCCCACAGTACAGCTGAACACCTTGTTAACCTCTCCTTGAGTCTTTAATTCTGCATCCTTAGCACCTGGCCCACAGAAGGCATATCATCTACTGACCAAAGCGAAGGAAGTTTCATCCCCAAGGCTCTGGTATCAGAAACTCACAAAATTGAATATCTGAATTTTCAGAATAAACCATGGGGGAAGTCAGTTGGCTTATCTTTCTCCAAACTCCTGCTCCCTGTACTCTGAAATACCTGTGCACTGTGGTGTCCTTAACACATCCCCAGCCTGGGCTGCAATGGACAAGAGGCTGGGTCTTTGTCCCTAGACCTCCTGGGAGTAATAGCAAAGAGGGAACCCAACCCTGACCACCTCATCAGAGAAAATTCTAAACATGTGTTGATTCTAAACATCTCCCTTAATCTTTATCATAGTTCATAACATTCATTGACTTTTTAAAAGTTTGTTTATTTTTGAGTGTGTGAGAGTGGGAGAGGGGCAGGGGGCAAGGGGGACAGAGGATCTGAAGTTGGCTCTACTGACAGCAGAGAGCCTGATGCAGGGCTCAAGCTGACAAACCGTGAGATCATGACCTGAGCAGAAGTTGGATGCTTAACCAACTGAGCCACTGAGGCACCCCCACTGATTTCTTTTTAATGTTTAACTAATTTTGATTTCTGGGAGAAATCCACTATGTTAATGAAGAATTCTTTTTATACACTGCTAGATTCAGGATCATAATACTTTATAGAGGATTTCTACATTTATACTCCTGAGTGACATTGGCCTATAATTTTCTTTTCTTGTATTTATCAGATTTAAATCAAGGTTATACTAGCTTCTTTTTCAATACTCTGGAAGAATTTTACACAACGTTAAACTGGAAACAGTCCCTCATTGCTTGGTAGAATGCACCAAGGAAACCAGCTAGGCCTGGAGTTTTCTTTAAGGGAAAATCTTTACTAATTCAATGTCTTTAATGATTATAGGTTATTTTGATTTTCTCTTTCTTATAGAATCAATTTTGGTAAATTATATTTTTCTAGGTAATTCCAAATATTTGAATTACAAAGACAACTGATATCTGGAATGCTGACCTTTAAGTGAACTTTGTAAGAAATTAAGTGCCTTATGATTCATAGGAGAATAACAGCTTACATGTGTACTGTATGTTACAGTTTATAAAAGTACTGCCCATATATAACCTCATTTGAAGTCTGGGTATCTTTAGTGATTTTTGGTATCTGATTATTGGCAAAGGGATGGATAAGTTCTGATTTAGCAGAACCATCTGATTCAGATCAACACCCTACTGTTGGCCATGCTAGGAAATTTTGTGGAGGCCTATGCAACTACTGAATTCTTCACTTCACTCCTGGGAGTCACTTGTCATGAACAAGGCAGACACCAAGTGTGTCGATATTAGGGTATGGGTGAGTATTCTGAGTTCATGGAAACCTTCCCTAAGGCCTGGCTAGGAACGTTAAGTCTGGGGGCTGGTATGTTTACTAATACGGGTCCCCAGGCCACGTGGCCTGGGAGGCAGAGGACAGCACGGGAAGGGGTGGAGGGAAGCACACTCACCAGGGCCTCAAAGTCCTTGCAGTCGTGGCGGGCATAGGACGTAGGGAAGGGCCGCAGCACCGAGTCGCGCTTGTAGCTCTGCAGCGCCGAGGCGAAGAGGCTGCAACGGAGGTCAGCGGCCAGCATGTCGCGGCCCACCGCCTCCCTGACGGCCGCCCAGCCTGCTGGCTGCATCCGGGTGGCGGCGCGTTGCCGGGGGAGACGCGCGGGTCACGGGCTAGGGCCGAGCCTGCGGTCAGCGCGGAGCTGGGCCCAGGGACAATGAGCCAGAGGAGACCAGGGTTCCCAGGCCCGGGGTGGAGCTAGGCCGAGGGAAGAGATGACCGGGGTAAGAACGTGCTGACGAGTGTCTTCGGCGGGGGGCCGGGCCGGGATGCTCGCTGCCCGAGGAGACCCGCCAGTCGAGTAGAGGGACCGGCTGGGCCCGCAGGTCAGCCTAGGGGGTTGGGCCTGGGGATAATGGGGCCCGGAGGGGGGTGTCCCAGGCCTGGGGGAGGGGCTATGACATGGGATGAGACGACAACGGCGGGAACGTGCTGACACGTGTCCTCTGCAGGAGCCTGGGGCGGGGGGAGGGGGGACACCCCCAGGGGGAAGCCGAGGAAACCCCCCCCCCCCCCCCCCCCCCCCCCGCTCCGGGCGAAGCTGCGGTGCCGCCCGTGCCTTCCTGTTCCGCCTCCAGTACGGCGCCGCCGAAGCTCCGGCGCTCGCCCGGCTGCCCCCGGCGCCGCCTGCGTTCCGCCTGCCGTGCACGTCCGCTCGTGGTGCCCTGCCTGCGGGTTGGACTCCGGGGCGGACGCCGGGCTGCGCGCCTCGGCCTACAACCCCTAGCTGCCACGCTCCCCACGCTGCTCCGCGCTCCTCCCAGCCCATCCGAAGGCCCGCCCCTTCCCGCGCCCGCCTCCTCGCGGGTGCCGGGTGTGTCGCCCCGCGAGACCCGAAGGGTCCCCAGGCGCAAGGTGTGCGGCCCCTGTGGAGTCGCCTACGCCCCTGCGTGCTATCCTCACAGAAGCCCTTGGTGGGGACTAGCCCGGGCGCCCTTTGACCCGCCCCTGGATTTACCTTTGTTCAAGTTTCGTGGACTGAGCCTGTTTGTCTCGCCTGGGGAATTGCTAACGACCTAGGCCTCCTGAATCGTTTCCCTCCAAAACTGGCAGCGCCATTTAACACCCAGAGCTACTACGTCTTAAAGTGCTGCACTGCTTACCCACAGCCAGATGGGGGTGAATCTGGAATTCACATCCAAGTCTGAAAACCAAAAGACCTTTCCTCGGCTTTTCAGCCTCCAGAATTCACTGCATTGCTTGTCTCTGGCCTCTCCCATGAGGTGTGGCAAGATTTTCCTTTGGGGTCTTGTCAGAAAGACAGCCTGGCAAAGAAAGTAATGGGGGAAGCCAGAGGGGAAATTGACCTAACTGCAGGAAGGAAGGGACTAGATTCCCGATTCACAACCCCAATAGAGAAAACCCCAGTTTGGCCTCATGGTCACGTGGAAATCTAAGCACAAGTAATTGCTAATTCCTAGACCACGAAGCCGGTCTCGGTACCATGCCCCCAAGTCCCATACGCCAGCATCCTCTGAGAGAAGCGCTTCCCCTCCTTCCCTGTCCAGGATGAGCAGGACTCTGGGTTCAGGGAAGAGGTGGTCCATGACTTTGCACTGTATCTATGACTTCGGGAGGAAGAACAATACCGGACTCCCAGACACCACATGGCTTCCCAGGTCAGGCAATGAGCGCTGGCTGCTCCCAGGAGTCCATATCAAACCTCTGGTTGCTGCGAAGACCGGACTGGTCCAGACACATGGAAAAGTGTTTTAGACCCTTATGTCCTCAGACAAGACCCCTAGTACCCCCAGGACCTTATGGGACCCAGGAATTAACATGGCTGCTGAAGCTCAGGCCCAGAAAGGCAGAGCTGGTAGCAGTGGGGCAGGAGACCTGGGAACCCTCCTTCATTCTGCCTCTTCTTCACTGTGACCCTTTAGACAAGGCCAACTCCTTGGCCTCAAGGATTGTTTGTTGAATAAAAACATGAAATGTGCTTTCTGGATATGTTTTCTCACATGAAATGAAAATCATAGTAAAACACCCACATCGCAACAGGGTTTGGGAAACCCTCTGAAGATGCAATTCTCAGGGTCTGGGCATTCTACAGAGCAAGTTGATCTATCTAGTTCCATGCCATTGTGTTTGCTTCCTTTTTTTTTTTTAAGTTGATTTATTTTTAGTGATCTCTACCCCAATATGGGGCTCAAACTCAGGACCCTGAGATCAAGAGTCCCATGTTCTTCCAACTGACCCAGCCAGGCACCCCTGTTTATTTCCTTTTCATATTTTTAAAAAAAAAAAAGCTTTACTTTAATATAATCTACAGCCCACACAATTCACCCATTTAAAGTGTAAAACTCAATAGTTTTTAATATAGTCACAGATATGTAGAACCATCACTACAATCAATTTAAAACATTTTCATCACATTCAAAGGAAACCCTATGTACTTAGGGGTGTTTTTCCATTTATCTAGATCTTTAAAAAATTTTTTTTCAGCAATGTTTTGTAGTTTTGTGAATAGAAGTCTTGTGCTTCTTGGGGTGCCTGGGTGGCTCAGTCGGTTGAGCGTCCGACTTCAGCTCAGGTCATGATCTCATATTTCATGGGCTCCAGCCCTGCATCTGGCTCTGTGCCGACACCTCAGAGCCTGGAACCTACTTCAGATTCTGTGTCTCCCTCTCTCTCTACCCCTACCCTGCTTGTGCTCTGTCTCTCTTGCTCTCAAAATAAATAAAATATTTTTAAAAACTTAGAAGTCTTGGGGCACCTGGGTGGCTCAGTCGGTTGGGCGTCTGACTTCAGCTCAGGTCATGATCTCACAGTCTGTGAGTTTGAGCCCCGCGTCGGGCTCTGTGCTGACAGCTCAGAGCCTGGAGCCTGCTTCTGATTCTGTGTCTCCCTCTCTCTCTGCCCCTCCCTTGCTCATGCTCTGTTTCTCTCTGTCTCAAAAATAAATAAAAACATTTAAAAAAATTAAAAAAAAAACTTAGAAGTCTTTAATTCAATTAAATTTATTCCTACATATTTAATTCTTTTTCACGCCATTGTGAATGGAATCATTTCTTAATTTCATTTTTTTTTAAGTAGACTCCATGCCCAACATGGGACTTAAACTCATCAGCCTAAGATTAAGAGTAGCATGCTCTACCAACTGAGCCAGCCAGGTGCCCCTCTTGATTTCATTTTTAGATTGTTCATTACCAGTGTATAGAAATATAATTGCTTTTTTTTTTTTAATTTTTTTTCAACGTTTATTTATTTTTGGGACAGAGAGAGACAGAGCATGAACGGGGGAGGGGCAGAGAGAGAGAGGGAGACACAGAATCGGAAACAGGCTCCAGGCTCTGGGCCATCAGCCCAGAGCCTGACGCGGGGCTCGAACTCACGGACCGCGAGATCGTGACCTGGCTGAAGTCGGACGCTTAACCGACTGCGCCACCCAGGCGCCCCTATAATTGCTTTTTGTATATCAATCCTGTATCCTCCAAATTTAGTGAATGTGTTCACCAGTTCTAACAGGTTTTTTTTGTACATTTTAAAGTTATCTATATATAAGATCATGTCATCTGTGAATAGAGATAATTTTCCTTCTTTCTTTCCAATGCAGATACTTTTTATTTACTTATCTTGCCCTGACTAGAACTTCCAGTACAGTGTTGAATGGAAGTAGTGACAGCATATATCTTGTCTTGTTCTTGATCTTACCAGAAAAGCATACATGCTTTTTTTTTTTTAGTATGATGTTAGCTGTGAGTTTTTCAGACCTGTCCTTTGCCAGGTTGAGGAAGTTCTATTCCTAGGTTGTTGAGTGTTTTTCTCACTGTAAGAGTGCTGAATTTTGTCAGGTACTTTTTCCACCTCTACTGGGATGATCATGTGATGTTTGTTTTTTATTCTATTGATACAGTGTATTACAGTGATTTTCAGATGGTTGAACCAACCTTGCATTTGTGGGGTTAAATCCCACATACTTATGGTATATGATTCTTTTGATATGTTGCTGGATTTGGTTTGCTAGTATTTTATTGAGGACTCTTGCATCCATATTCATAAAAATATTGGTCTGTAGTTTTCTTGTGATGTCTCTGGTTTTGATACCAAGATAAATCTGGCCTCATAGAATGAGTTGGGAAGTAGTCACTCCTATTTTTTGGAAGATGGTGAAGAATTGGTATTAATTCTTGTTAATTAATAAATGTTTGGTAGAATTCAGCAGTAAAGCCAGATGAGCCTGGGCTTTTTTTTGTAGGTAGTTTTTTTGTTTTGTTTTGTTTTTGAACGTTTATTTATTTAGTTTGAGAGAGAGAGAGAGAGAGAGAGAGAGAGAGAGAGAGAGAGAGAGAGAGAGGCATAGAGAGAATCCTGACGCAGGGCTGGAACCCACAAACTGTGAGATCAGACCTGAGATGAAACCAAGAGTCAGACGCTTAACTGATTAACCCACCCAGGTGTCCTTGTTTTGTTTTGTTTTTACCAATTCAATCTCTTCACTTGTGATCAGCCTATTCAAAACATCTGTTCTTCTTGTATCAGTTTTGATAGTCTTTAATAATTTATCTATTTCACCTAAGTTTTCTAATTTATTGGAATACAATTGCTTATAGTATTTCTTTATAATTGTTTTTATTTCTGCAAGGTAAGTAGTAATGTCCTTTCATTCATTTCTGATTTTAGATTTTTTTAAAGTAATCACTACACCCAACATGGGGCTCAAACTTATGACCCCAAGATCAAGAGTCACATGCTCCACCAACTGAGCCAGCCAGGTGCCCCTGATTTTTTTTTTCATTAAAAAATTGTTTTAAATCTTTTTTAGCATCTGTCTACAGAATCATAGTGTCTCTCATTTGACCTACTCTTAAAATTTTTTTTCAATGTTTATTTATTTTTGTTGAGAGAGTGAGAGAGAGCATGCGCATGTGTGCACAACGAGGGGAGGGACTAAGAGAAGGAGAGACAGAATCCCAAGCAGGCTCTGCACCATCAGCACAGGGCCTGATATAAGGCTTGAACTCACAAACCACAAACTGTGAGATCATGACCTGAGCCAATAACAAGAGTAGGACGCTTAACTGACTGCACCACCCAGCAGCCCCCAGATGCCCCTGAT